GGGTCTCTGACCGACCGGTATCGGTTACGGTTATGACCGGTCATGACCGGTCATAACCGTAACCGTTGCCATCCCTATTTGCAACACTGAACGAAACGACAGGATCATTGAGTACACTGATTATACACTCAATTCTTCAGGGACTAATTTGTGTATAGTGATACCTGTAATTTTTACTTATAGTACATCACTCATAAGACATCAGTATTAACTTCAAATGAATCCAAAATAAGAAAAAATTAAGATTAAAATAATGTTAAGAAAAAATTAAGATAAAAATAATGTTAAGAAAAAATTAAGATCAAAATAATATTAAGATAGTACAATATTGTAATTAACGGAGAACATTATGACATATTAATAAATAGTTATAATGGAAATAATGATTATTTACTATGCGCAAATCCAACTTTTTTGTTTTTTACATCATATACTGAATATACATTCTTTAAGAATGTTTGACCGACGACCCATGTATGATTAAGACCCTTAAGATCTAAGGGAACAATAGCTGTTATACAATGGAAAAATGAATTAAAAATTACATCCTCGGATGGAATTATATAATCAACACCTCCAAATCTAAGAGTAAGTGTAGGGATGGAAGGTGTAGAAGTGCCGCCTTCTTCAGGAGGACATGGGACTGTGTAAACATTTCTTGTTTTATCAAATTCGGCTCCCGGAATTTGCTTATTAATTGCTGCTGCGTCATCTGAAGGTACGAAAAGAACTGTAGAACCAGTGTCAATGATTGCACTCTTACCAGAAATAGACATTTGTGTGCCATTAAGAAGTACACTATCAAGTTTTATTTGCCAAAATCCAGCTTTATTAATCACAGGATTGAATGTAATGTCACCAATAAATTTACTTTTATCAACTCCACCTAATGTAAATGTTCCTTGATCAATGCCAACTGATGCATGTTGGAAATGAAAGCTAAAAATTGGGTTAATTTTATTTTCCTTAATTAAAGTAGAAATTAAGGTTGCTGATCCATTATCCATAGTATTTATATTGTCAAATGCTAATCCTAAAATTCCATCGAAATCATCCAAGTCAAAATCATCAGATACACTATTAGCGAGACCAAAAAGTTGATTATCAGCGGTAATGTTTCCAATTTGGACACTATCTATTCCGGTAATGCCAGAGGAATTGCCAAGCCCATATTTGATAGCCCATGGTTTCCCTTCATGCTTAAATGTTGGCGATTTACTTGAATCAAATCTATTATGGTCTTTGCAAGTAGTGGAGGTGCAATCCTTATTTGGAATCCAGAGATTTGAAGACCCTGTGTCTAATAGAACTTTGAATTCTTGATTTCCAATAATGATTTTTACATAATATGCTACATCTGGGTTTCATCAAATACAGGGATGGTTTGACTTTTAGAAGTTGATACATCAGAGAATATTTCATTGTTAGTAGTTGATACATCGGAGGACGTTTTATAGATAGAAGTTGAAACAAGATCTTTGTAGCCAGAGTATTTATTTATAGCAGTTTTTCTTAATTTATCTATCAAATCCACTGCATTTATGTCAGTGGACACAGTATGCTTTCTTTTTACCATGTAATTAGGATATGCATTTATGCTATAAATGGTGGCTACGGTTAAGATGATAAAAAAAAAAACAAAGTTCATTATTACTATTAAAGTATGGGTGCTACTAATGAAATATAAATAGTTTTAGTTTTGTTTGTAATGTTATGAAAAAAGTTGAATTAACGGTCATTTCCATGAGATTTTTAAGCTTTTTATTTATTTCATTTTAACATATAAGAGTAATTTATTTCATTAACATATAGAGTAATTTATTTCATTTAACATATAGAGTAATTTATTAAATTTTGAAAAAGTGCGTATAAATTTATTTATTATCTGCACGATCCACTGGGGTGTGCTGTGGACTATGTAAATCAAAACTATATGCGATATCATATAAAAATATTGGAGATTTTTTTTTTTTATAATACATGTAAATCTGGGGTGCGCGATCATCTATGTAAATCAAAACTATGTGAGGTCTATTAGTAAATTACTAATAAACTATTTTTTTACGAACATTTTTAGATGTGGAGAACGAATTACCTTATTTTTTTTTTTACAAATGTTTTTGTATGCATTAATTTTTAACATATTTATAACAAAGTTACGTTAAAATATTTTGTTCTGCACTTCTATGTTAATATAATACTTAAAATTCGAATGAAAATTTATTCAAGGCGAAAGAAAAAAGAAAAAGAAAAATTTTTTATGTCGGCAAAATTTTTAGTTTTAAAACACGAAATCTTTTAACGTAACTTAGTTAGAAATATGTTTAGGATTAATTTTATGTTAAAACATTTGAAAAAAGCAATAAAAATCGTCCTTTGCATCTAACAATGTTCTTTAATAATAGTAAGCATATATATTCTTTGGGTTCCTGTCAAAATCCCGACAGACAGGTCATAATCCAAAAAATTCCGATAGTCAAAATCCCGACAATCCAGTCAGAATTTTCAATTAGAAAATCCCAAATATGGGGTATGTTTAAAGCGAGGTAGCCTCTTATATTTTAATTAACTTTAGGGTTAGGCCACTTTAGATAAGGGTTAGGCTAGGTTAGCTATGGTTTATGATATTTTCATCAGAATTTTTAATTGTCGAGATTTTTGACTATCGAATTTTCGGCTGTCGGAATTATGACCTATCGGGATTTCGCTTGTCGGGATTTGACCAAACCCCATATTCTTTAATAGTAGTGATCATTTATAAATCAATTATTACTATAAGTACTGCTGTGCTGATTAGTGATACGGGTCGACCCCGGCCCAACGGCCGGGTCGATGGGCGGGTCGACCCTCAGCCGGCACCTTTGTGGG